AAATAGTTAAAAATTTCACGCACCAGCGCATGAAAGCTGAATTCGAAACCTTGAATGGTGAATATCATTCCACGATTCCCTAGCTAATAGTTTAGCCGCCAAAATTCTTATGAGGCCATAGATGATAATCAACAGCGAGGGGACGCTGAATTTGAATGGGCAAGGTTGAGCGTGGGCAAGGGGTCATTACCCTAAAATTTCAGCCTCCTAGACTTTGTGGTTCCTGAGATTAATTTACCCGCAAAAAACTTTCACGGGGCCGTACGAGTTACCCGCAGGTACGGGAAGGCTGAATTTAAATTTGCCGCGTCACCCGTTGGCGGGAGAGCACTATACCAAAATTTCAGCCGCCTAGCTTTTGTGGTTCTCGAGTTGAAAGTGCGGGACAAAATGTGGGACAAGCACACAAACACACACACAGACAACCCCGTGACAATATGCATTTTGCAACGCTGTTACACAGCACAAAACGCATAAAATTTGAAGCGAAGAATGCTTGGAGTATCTCTTTGTAGTGGTAATAGGCAGTTTAATTTTCCGTTAGATCAAAGACGTAGAATGTCATTTTGATTACGTAAAGACGTAAAAACAGTTAAAAAGAACATGTTTCTCGGTTTGCTGGCACCTGCTGAACGTATTTATCAGTGAATAGTAGTCACAGGGAAGCAAACGACTGCCCAGATAGTTTCCGAAGAGGTGACACATATAGATTGGGCAGATAGCTGAATGTGTTCAGCTCAGAACCGAAGGATCGGTCATGTTGGAACATTCCAGAAACACCACTTGTGTCAAATCCTCACACCATTTGTTCGAATGATATTAATAATCATGATAACATTGTGTATTTTCGTTATCAGCAATTTTTTTTTTCACAAAATTGCTCTAGGCCTTTCCTGAGCATTCAGGAAGTATCAAGTCTTGTGCGCCTCATTTTCAGGAGAAATATATTGCCGATTTGGATTCCAAATCTGGCGCATCATTAAAATTAACCGTACTGAATCGCCATGGACGTATATGGACAATGGTAGCAGGTGGTGGTGCATCCGTTGTTTACACGTACGTTGTAGATTCTTCTTTTATATGTAATCATCATTACAAAGGCGGTACGGGCCTGAAAGGCCCTGTGAAGAAGAAAAGAAGAAGAAGAAGGGGCCGGAACAACGGCCCAACAGCGAAGGGTATTAGACGGAGGAACCGCACAAATCGTACATGCAATAGGAGAATGCGGGAGTGGGGCGGTAATCGCCCAAGGTCTGTGGTGATAATGAAAGAAAATAAAAGGGTCAGATTGTTGTGACGAATATTTTTTTAGAAAAATCAGGGTGGAATTTAAAAGAAGTCATGTGAAGAGCGGTATGTAAATAAGCCTGCCTGTGTTTCATCCCCAAGCTGTAAACACAGACAGCACGAGACGTGATT